CACCCACCAGATCTCACCACCCCCGTATTGTTGCGGGTCTTGGTTGAATAATAAAAAGATAAAAAAAAAAAATAAAAAAATGTGCCAAAGGTTGAAAAAAACTGCTACAATGGAACTTATAACTAAAGTTTTCCGAATGTATTAAGTTGTCCAATCCTCTGGCATAAGAGCATTTTCTATGTGGCAGTAGATTCCGTTACGCTAACAACGTTTTGGGGAAGAAACCCAACAGAGGGAGGATTCTCACTCAGCCGCCTCTGCTGCTCCACTACACACTCTTTGGGACCACGTAAGCAGGCCTCCGCTTTTCAGCTGGCTTAACCAGCCGGCACTAGGACCAGGAAAAGGGTTTCTCTCAACCTCTTTAATGAGCCCGCTTCTCTCGTCAGGGCTTTTTGCTGCCCGGGCATGTTTTTCAAATAGTTTCTAGCAGTCTTTGATGCTCAGCTGGGGAGGGGCAGGGGGGATTATAAGGGAGGGCAGGGCAACTCCTGCCATTTGAGACGGATTGCGCTAATCGCAGGAACCGGAGTCGCGCAGGGGTCTGGGATCTTTTTTGGCCACCCTAGCTCAGGCCGCCCCTTTACACGTCGACGGAATTGATGCTGCTGGCTGGAGTCCTTTAGGCCGCCTCTATTTTAGCAAAGCGCCTCCTCTGGCCCCGTTCTTTCCCGTCCCTCCTCCCCCCCCCCATCCCAACGCAGCCTACAACCTCGAAGGGCAGCCTCCTTTCTCCCTTTTGCACGATTGTGCCATCAGGGAAGATCATGAGTTTGCTCTGCCTTATCTTCGCCCTGAGTTCTTGGGGGGTTCACGGCTTGGGAGACCCCGGTCCCTTAGAGGATGTCGTCATTGACAGATACTACATCCCCAAAGTGTGCTTGCGAGAAGTCCAGATGGGTGACTTTGTCCGCTACCATTACAATGGGACCTTTCAAGACGGCACCAAGTTTGACTCCAGGTACTTGCTCGCTCACTCAGTAAATCCAGCGCAACCATCTGAGGGAAAAGGCAGGGCTGTCTTGAAAAGCTGCCCTTTTGTCCAGACCAGGGATAGGTGTGCGCGGGCCACGGACAATGCTGTGCGATCCTTAGTGGCCCTATTAAATCTGAATTCCAAAAGGCTAAGCATATTACTTATCAGTAGAATTTGAAGGAAAAATGTTTTTTTCCCTATAAATTGAAAGGCAGAAACAAAAAGATGTTGCATTTTATTATTCCATTTTTGCAAAGCATTTCTGAAGTATTCAGCAAAAAACTAAAAAAGAAAAGAAGGCCACACCCTCCCTTTCTTGGGGAATTGTGTATCTTCTCTGTTCCCTGCTTTGCTGGGCTTCAAGAAAAAAGAAATTCAGTTTTGTTGATCCTTCACATCACTTCTATGTGACTGCATAGCATTTGTGTTGCAGAAGGCAAAGCATGGAGGAATGTTGTTGGGACAATTTTATAAATTTATAAATAATTTTATAAATGCCCAGTTCTGAGTGAGAAGGAAGGTGACCCAGCTTGGGAACCAGACATTTGAGTGAAGGAGAGGTAAGATGGATTCCTGTGTTACAGTGGGTTGAGATGCCAGTGCAAATGGTGGAGAATTCAATATGGTAAACTTTAAAATGTGTTTAAATCTACTAGCTTAAGTACATTGTGAAATATTAACATGTTGAATGATTGTCAATCATATTTTGAAGTTTACTCTTTGACCAAAATATTAGAAACAGGTTTGTTCCTTATTGAACAATTGTATAGAAGCCATCTGTGCATTTTTCCTTTCACCTTTGTAAATAAAAGGGTTAGAGACTTGGAAAGGGACTTTTGATTACCTTTGAGGCCCATGAGGAGCTCTTTCATGATACAGCTGCAGTAGCAGATATCCAATCCAGAGTCTTTGCTTATCAGAAATGTTTCAGATGACTTTGATGCATTGACTGTGATGAAGCTATTCCAATATATTGTGGGGGTCATAAATATGCTTTCTTAGAAGCTCACTGAATTCAGTGGATTTAGTCTGTAGGCTTTCTGATCTAAGTTTAAACCTAATGAGGCAGGTAACACTCTGAGGACTGCAACACTTTTGAAACAATTTGATTATAATGACATCTGCTATTCATGCCAAACTATGTTTGCTGTAGATTTTGACTGTGGAATCCTAAACTGTATCTCTAATGATTTTCACAATTGTTCCTTTTAAAAAATGGGTTTAAGTTGCGATTGCACCATGCATTAATCACTGTAATCATCTCCCTCAACCTCTGGTTCTCTAATGGCATAATTCTGTTAAACGTCTACCCAGAAGTAGTTCCCATTGAGTTGAATGACATTTACTTCTGGGGAGATGGTCACAGGCTTCAGTCCTGCAACTGCTATAGGGGTCCCTGTCATTCAGCATCTGAGAAGCTTCTGAGCAGGATTCCTGACAAGTAGCCATATTTCATTTGATTTTTGCCCTAGCACCTCATACTAAGTACTCTGTATTTGCACTGCTGGGGTTTCTGAACCTGCAGCAAGCCTTCTCCAATTCCATGCTTTCCACATGTGTTTGACTACAACTCTTATCATTCCCAGCCTGCATGACCCATGTCAGTCAACACACCTCAATGGCACCTGATTGGGGGAAGCTAAGAGAAAGGCTTATTATATTAGCTATATTGGCTAACAGCCATTAATTAGCTGGTCTTCCACTAAGACTGTCTTTGCAAACTATTTATGTAAGCGTTCCTTTAGTAGATCAATCCAATTCAACATATTTCCTTATTTTTTTACTAATTAAAACTAATGCTGAAAATGTCAGAAAAGAAGGCTTGGCAATGAGTTACATGCACAATAGAGCATTGTTATCTATGGAAGGAGGATATTTTCCATATCTTCTAAAAAGGTGGGAAACCAATTTACAAACAAACAAAAAATAGATTCCCTCATTGAATGCATCCACATTTCTTTAATAAAATAAATAGGCAGTCATATTCATGATAATCCCATACACTAAAGTACCATGCTTTTAACTAGTCCGAAAATTGAAAAGAAATCCTTCTCCAGTAACTGGATATGATATACTCTGTTAGTTCAAGCATCAGTGAATCTGCATGTAATTTTACTTATACATCTGTAGTATTCAAATATATTAGGACATTTCAAGATTTGCTTCAAGTGTCAAACATCATTACACTTAAATGTTTAGTTCTGATTTTCATCTAGACATGGTCCTGAGAATATTTAAAGAAAAAAGACAATGAGTTGCAATGGGATGCCAAAGGAGATGGCGTCTACAATGGGATCTGCAGTTTTGGCTGTAGACGTGTCACCACATGAAACCATAAAAGGACTGAGACGTTAATTTTAAATGGCTAGATTTTGCAAGCTAGAATATTGGCTTCTATTCCCATTCCAAATGCATGGAGTAGGCTGCAGCCCAATAAAATGCATGCAGACTTATGCCTACTTTAAGTTTTCTGAAGATTTACCAGTAAAAAAAAAAATCAGCCCCAGTTTAAACTACAGCCAATTTTGGAAAGGCCTTGGTGACTTAGCTAGTCTTTCCTCCAGCTGCATTCAGAATGTAAAATTCTGCTATTCCACTCTGACCAAAGGAAGCTAGAGATCATGTTTCATTTGCTTCTTTCTATGCTAGAAAAAGTGTGGGTTTTTTTCCCCTCAGAAGGAGAGGTTTACAGAATTGCTCTCTTACTAAATCAAACATCCATCCATGATCTGGACAAATAATTGGTTTGGGATACAACTTCGTTAAACAGATGGATTCTGCTTTTGTAGCACAGTAATAATTACAGCAGATCTGTCCTAAAGTATTCAACTGCATCATTACTTCAAGAGGGAATGCTTAGCCAGTCTATTCTGCACATGGATGACCACTGTGACTCATTACCATACCCACTTTTTTGCATATAAATTGATAAATTGGGGTCATAGGACCTTTAGTTGCTGATTTCTTCAGCCCATTTTCTTTTCATTTTTTCACAACCAGAGTCATGTCCTTCTCCGTTTAACTTTGCACTGATTCTACCCTGGACCTGCAACAGAACAGATATGATAGATGGAGAAAATCCTGCTGCAGTTGGAATAACCTTCTAACGGGACAGAAACACCTTTCAAAGGGAACAAAAGACTTGCTTGCAGGGCTAAGCCAAAATTGAAGTTCTAAGTAAAGTGTATTGATTTGAGTGGCAGGTTGGGATGAGACAGAGTAACTGGTTGCCCAGCAAACCCTATGGTCAAATGGAAACTTAAATCTGGGTCTTCTTAGTACAAGTATGACAAGATTGAATGGCTGTGGATTTTAGGGCTCTTCCTATCCAGTGATTTTCCATCAACTCTGGGTGGGGTAATACTGCCCCACACAGGGTTAGTGCACAATCTGGGAGCCCTCCTGGACTTGCAGTTCTTGCTGAAGGAGCAGATGGCAATGGTGGTCAGGAGACTCTGCACAATTACATCTTGTGTGCCAGCTGCACCCATTCCTAGATTGGGAGGTACTGCTCATGGTCACTCTTGCTGTAGTCACCTCCCAGTTGGCGTATTGCAACACACTCTATGTAGGGCTGCCCTTGAATAGCATTCAGAAGCTGGTCCAGAGCGCAGCAGTACATGCAGTATTGGGTAACACCACTGCTATATGAGTTGAACTGGTTTCTGTATGGAGTTCAAGGTACTGGTTCTCACCTTTAAAGCCCTACGTGGCATGGGGCCAGATTACTTGCAGGATGGTTTCAGCCCATCCCATGAGATCAAGCAGAGTGGGCAAGTTCCAGGTCCCATTGGTGAGGCAGTATCACTTGTTGAGCCCTAGGAAGCATATCTTCCCTGTCATGGCAGCTGCCTTGTGGAAAAGCCACACTTTTGAGACACAGACAGTCCTGAACCTGCTGGCCTTCTGGAAGGCCATGAAAACTTGGCTTTTCCTCTAGGCACGGGGGGCAGGATGTTAATGGAGCTCTGGTGTGGGTGTGCACAATATGTTAGTAATGAGATTTTTTTAGGGTCGTTGACTTAGGTTTTTCTTTAATTGATTTGTAAATTTGTATGGTGTTCTCTGTTACCACCCAGCGTTCCTCTGGTAGATCATCCACTATATAAATCTGTCTAATAAACAAACAAATATAAGTTTTATACTACATTGGTTCTTACAACACTGCCACATTTTGTTATTGGTTATTGGGCAATTTAGAACAATTATCTAATTATTTGTTTTTTAATCAGAATAATTTTGCTCACCCCTTCTGACAATAGTTTCTTCCTTCTCCAGCTATGACCGAGGTGCCACTGTGGCAGGTGTAGCAGGTGTGGGACGACTCATCACTGGGATGGACAGGGGCCTGCAGGGCATGTGTGTGAATGAGAGGAGGCATCTCATTGTGCCACCTCACCTTGGCTATGGCAGCATCGGTGTTGGTGAGTATCAAACTTTTGAAGTTGACTGGATAGGAAAGATAATGAGAGCAGAACTGTGCTTACAGATCTAAATTGGAAAGTTGCTTCTCAACCCCAATCACACACACACACTATATTTCCCAGATTTCTTTTTTTCCCTCCAAGCCATATAATATTTCCATCCATAATTCTTTTCTTCACCATTTTCTTTGCAAAGTATCTTCTAGCTAGATGATAATACAGAATGATATAATGCTATGTGAGGACAGTGCATGTGGTACTCTCTTGGTCTCCATTATAGTATATCTTATTTTCAAACCCTTAGCTGGTCTGATCCCACCAGACACCACCCTGTATTTTGATGTCATCTTGCTTGACATTTGGAACAAAGAAGACAAGTTGCAGGTCACCACCCTCTACAAGCCACAACAGTGTAATCGCACAGTGGAAAATTCAGACTTTGTACGTTACTACTATAATGGTACTCTTCTGGATGGGACCCCTTTTGACACCAGGTAGGAAGTGCCAAAGTAGAGAAGGCAATTTCTTGGCAGCTGAGGATAATACTTTTATAAAAATAATCAGTTAAGGGCCACCATAATTGAGCATACGATGCGATGGTATCACGAGGGGACATGATCTAAGTGGTTCTGCTGAAAGAAGCTTGCGGGCCACACATGACCTAAGTTTGCCCACTTTGATGCTAAAGGCTTAATAGTGGTTTGGTTCAGACAAAGAGAAAAAATATCCAAGAAAGCAATTCCCATAATCAACTCAACGAGTTCATTTTTTTCAAGAGTAGGAACAGCAATCCTCAAGCAACTATACTGTAGCCATTGCAGAAGAAGCAGACGTTCCCAGCCGTAGTTCAAGAAAAAAAGTTGATTGATAAAAATGTTGTAATCATTTAATTCACAATGCAGTTACAAAGCAAAGACCTTTTTGCAAAATAATTAATTTCTAACTAACTGCAAAGGAGTCTAATAAGAGTAGACAGATACTAGTATATCACCTAGAGTGATTATTCCTTGCCAGAGGCATCCAAATTACTTGCTCTTTTATGGTACTATATACCACTGCTGGCTGCCAAGTTTTATGCTTTCCATGATCAGCTTCATCTACCTAGTATCTGATTTTTTTCCCCTCCATCTTCTCTTGCTTCCTAGCTATGGAAAAGACAATACTTATGACACCTATGTGGGTACAGGCTGGCTAATCAAAGGTATGGACGAAGGCTTGCTAGGCATGTGTCCAGGAGAGAAGCGGCAAATAATCATGCCTCCTTTTCTGGCCTATGGAGAAAAAGGCTATGGTAAGCTGGACATGAAATTCAAGTATTTCTTCTGCATCAAGAGATGAACTGCTCCTGTTCTTCCCCTATCAAATCCTGAGCCACAAAAATATGCAGATATACTAATTTGGATTTCACAGATAAGTTATTTTGTGGACTTAAAAAACAGCCACCACCCATCACTTGCACGTTTTGTTACATGGAGAAGTAGATCCACGTAGGGAGAGGATTGTGGCTGTTAGCTCTACATCTGCATGGGACCTTTTGTAGTTTTGGGATTCAGCAGCCTTTGCCATCTTTCCACCCTCCAGTTATATTGGGACTGCAAATCTCAGAATTCCCAGCTGGGTAGGAGAAGTATGTGGATTATATGCAGCGTTGGGATATGTTGGGGAAGTTGTTTTACATCCAGGTGCTGCCAGCTGCTGAGACCTGTAATGAACCAAGGTTAGCAACTGGACATCTTTTTAATGAATGGCAGAATCTATTACCACAAACAGAATCTTATGTATTTCTCCAGAGTAAATGCCCACAAATAACAGCACACATATACAGCATGCTGTATTGCCCAATTTAAAATAATTGTTTTCCCCTTATCTGGCCCAATTCATATCCGTGTCAGGTTGTGCTGAGTCCTTTCTCCTTTCTTTCTCTCAGGTACTGTCATCCCCCCGCAGGCGTCTCTGGTTTTTTATGTTCTTCTGATGGACTTGCACAATCCAAAAGATAGTATCTTCCTGGAGCACTTGGAAGTGCCAGCAACATGCAAACGCAAGGCTGTAACTGGAGATTTTGTGCGGTATCATTACAATGGCACTTTGATGGATGGGACCCTCTTTGATTCCAGGTGAAGAAAACATTCTGCTGAATCAATTTCAATTTCTGATGACTACATGCCCATATAGCCTTCTTAGCAACAGTATGGAAGTGACTGGCTTCTTCTAAGCTGTTTCTTTGACATTTTATTTATTTATTTTATTTATTCAATTTTATTAATTCCCAACTCCGATGGACTCTGGGTGGTGTACAAAACTGGAAAATCCAGAAAAACAGGTAAAACATCAAACTGCCCAGACTAAAATGATCTTATAAATCAAACATAACAGGAGCCCCAGAAATACCATGATACATTGATACATCAACCTCAGACTTAGACCAAAGCCAGGTTTTAAGAGCTTTCCAGAATATGTAGGTACAACCTCCAGCCTTGGAATTTCCTGGTGGCCTTCCATGCTGGTACTAACCAGCTTTTTAGACATCAGCAATAGTTGGCTATGTGCCATGACCTGCTGAGGTAGAAACACAAAAAGGTCCTAGAACTGGAATCTTACCTTACATCATCGGATAAGAAAGCAGTGAAAGCCTTAAGTTGCATAGAGAGGTGATAGATTTCAGTCAAGGGAGTTCACTCAACATAGGTTGCTTTGTTAAGGTTGGATGTTCAAGGTAGGTTTTGCCACATGTCTAGACACTCAACTGTGTCAGCACAACTGAAGTTGTACCTCTTTTGCTAGAATAATGGGTTTCTGACCCTTTCTGGCAAAGTAGAATCCTTACACCAACTGGTTACACATCCCAGAAGATTTGGTCACATCACAGCAAATAGTACTACAAATCTCACTGTCCCATATATTAGATTCTGTCCTGAATAAAACAGCACCTTTGTGTTATGCAAGAGAGAAAAGGCCAATTCATGTCAGTCTTTGTTTGGGTGATCTGTGTATACAAATTATCATCCACAAAGGAGGTGCCAATAAGGGCAACTGGAGCAGCATAAACTGCTAAAGCAAAATCCTGGTGAATTGTGTCTTACCATATCATTTAAACACATAGCTAATGAGAAAGTGCTTCCTTGTTTCTGTCCTATGTGTTGCTCCTCTATTATCTTCATAAATCCAGATCAGTACATTCAGAAGGTCAGTATATCCAGAAGGGTCTTCCAAATACAGATCAAGAACAAGATGCAATTACAAGTTGGGCAGCAAGAAGTAGAAGTCCTCTGATTGTTGAGATCCTATCTGGACCTGATCCAAGAAAATTGTACAGGAGTGAGAGGCTGCCACATCTTTATCTTCCAACCATTCAGGAAGCCAGATTTGTGCATCTTGTTGTGATCTTCCTTTCCTTATCCAGGGCAAGTCTATCTAAATGACCTCAGACCATTTGAACAGACTGGCTGGGGGTGGGCAGTAGGTTTTGCTGTAGAACCAGCCAGTTCTTCCCCACATTTTCTCTTTCTCCAATTCCAGTTATTCACGGAATCATACTTACGACACTTATATTGGGAAAGGCTATATCATCTCTGGAATGGATCAAGGACTACAAGGGGTCTGTGTTGGTGAAAGAAGACGGATAATAATTCCTCCTCATTTAGCCTATGGAGAAAATGGGGCAGGTAGGAGAAACAAGAAGATTCGGGAAACCTTTAGTGTAACTATTATAAACATTAGTAAATGTATAACATTCCCCATGTATTACCTTCCAAACATGTTTGACGTCAGCTCTTGTAAGTCCCATGCTCATTGTGAAATCCAAATGCATCTAAAGGGATCTGTGGGAATTGTGTTCTTTGCTGGTCAAACAGCAATCTGCACCTGTAAGATATAATTACACCATGAATACAAATCAGGCACTCTTAAATTTGTATTAAATTTAAAGAGTTCCCTATAAACCTGAGAATGCAGGTTTTAAAATGTCTGAGTTAGCTATGTGGCTCAATTCGTATATGGTTATTTGGGACATCTGAACAGATGAACCATTGGCAATTAGAGGTTATGACTCTTGAATTACGGATGTACCTGCAAACATAAGATAAATTGTCAGCATTTTGCAGTAGTTCCTTTCCTATGTCTGGATCTTATGCCACTCTACACAACATATTTTCCTCTCCTAGAAACAAATCCAAGATGTTTATACTGTATGGATCATAATCAAGTTATTTTAGTAGGCTATTGATTTAATTGATTGGAATAGAATGAAATCTCATTTTTCCCTGGGTAATCAAGGTGGCATGTATAGCACTCCATTCTCTAAATTTTTCACCCCCAAAACCATGTGAGTTGAGCTGAGACAGTATGACTGACCCAAAGTAACTAAGTGACTTTCCATGACTGAGGGCAGATATGCACTTTTAACTCCTCAATCCTAGTCTAGCACTTTACCCGCTACATCACATGGGCTCTCCTATGAAATGTTAACAGAGCAGTGTTGATTAGAATCCAATTACCCTAACATCTATTCTTGTGGCAACTACCTCACTTTGTCTTATGGTAGAGTTGGGCTCTACCTTTCCCTTGCAACACACAATCTTAGGGGAGCATTGGTTGGCCTCTAAATCTAGTACAGCAATACAGAGACACAACAGATCCTGCATGAAACATGAAAGTGTCCAAGAATTTCTGCAAATTTACTTGATTCCTGCCATGGAGATTTTGCATTCATCAATAGGTAGTACAGCGTGGAAAACTTTTTAGAAGACAGAAAGTTCACATTCTAGCCCACTGAATGGTAGAAGGTAGAAGAAATGGCTGAGTTTATACCTCATGATCATTTGTTTGCTTATACTTTCATGCAGTATATGAACCCACCAACTCTGGTTTGTTAGACCATACTTTACTGTCTCAACATGATGCGTGTACCTTGATGTCATAGCTTGTTCAATAAACCAATGATTAAAACAAACTGGGTTAACACAATATGTAAATACAGGGAATATGTCAATGAACAGTGTTGCCTCTGTGCTCTTTAAAACTTTCTGGAGCCCATATTCCTGGAAAACAGAGCAGCAAAATATCTTGGGTCAGCCAAGTTCCACAGAAGACCTACATACGTACCTTTCTTCTCACTCTTTCTTTCATTCTTTTGTGTTCCAGGGAGCAAGATACCGGGCTCAGCTGTCCTTGTATTTGACGTCCATGTCATTGATTTCCACAACCCCACAGATCCAGTAGAGATAGAAACCATCTTCCGCCCTGCAGACTGTAACATTACCACTCAGGATAGAGATTTTGTCCGTTATCATTATAACTGCTCACTTCTGGATGGCACCAAGCTTTTCTCCTCGTGAGTGCCTAGCTCAGAGTTCAGTTCAATTAAATGTCTATCCTGCCTCATTGTAAAAATCCCAAAATGGAAATATTGAGCAAATACACCATCAAAATATAGGGGGATGGGGGTGGGTTTACCTATATAAAACAGGCATACACTCCTAATTTGAATTTCATTTTTCACCATCAAAGATTGACCAATCCCCCTTCCCCTCAAAAGTCACTATATAAATTTGAAGACAATTTTGAACTTCTAAATTACAAAAATACTTTTGCTTTGAGATTTCTTTCATGGGCTGTCTGGTGAGAGTACAACTGTGTCAGTGTCCTGCGTTGCTTTATGTCCCCTTCTAAGGAATTGCAGAACAAAATAATATTTGCTAAATAAGGAGATACATTAATTTGCATACAGTAATTTATACAAGTGCAGAATTTAGATTTTCTTAAGTCTAGAATTGTAGGGAAAACGCTTTGGAGAGCCAACAGGGGATGGAGCACATTATTCTGAAAATCCAACCAAGTGTTTTCAAGAGGACTCAATGGTTTGTTTCCCACTGACAGGCATGATTATGAACATCCTCAAGAAGCCACCCTGGGTACCAATAAGATCATTGAAGGCTTGAACAGTGGCCTACTCAGCATGTGTGTGGGAGAGAAGAGGACCGTCATTGTTCCTCCACATTTGGGGCATGGTGAAAGTGGTGGTAAGGCAACTTCTCAGGGAACATTTCAGACTATCATTCAATTGTACAGGCTGAGTCGAAGACGTGGAAAAATAAAATATTGGATGAATCCTGAATCCCTCCCTCCCTCCCTTCCTGCTAGGTACCATTGTTGAAGAAGTGGATCAAAGTGTGTGTGGTATGCCTTGTGTAATCTCTAATTTCAGTTGGCTAAGCTGCTGGGCAAGATTTGTACAGGACAGGTGATGGGTTTCAGTGCACATACCCCCTAAATGAAGCAGAATAAGTTAAAACAATTAAAATGTGCACTTCATGAATCTTGAAATATGATTTCTAGTTGTTGTTGTTTTTTTTTGCTTTCTCTAGCAATGTACATCAAATTCTAAATATTATGGTAGCATCTAGTCTTTTAATCCATCACCTTAGAAATGATGCATTGATTCTACTAAGAGAGCTTAAATTCTTAGAAATAATTGTTGTAATCTCTAATATAACTGTTAAAGAAAGCTTTATCAGGACGAATATTTCCCCTACCTTTGACTTGAAGACCTATTTTGCATGTCACACTAAGACATAATGTGTTTTTTTTGGGTTTAAGCTTAGCATATTGCATGAACACAGCATTTACTTAGAACACACAGTGGTTTATTTAGTAAACCATGGTTAAGCAAACAGTAGCCCAATGTAATGTATGCTTCCTGTAACTAATACAGTGGTACCTTGGTTCACGAACGCTTCTGTTCATGAACAATTCGGTTCGCGAACAGCAGCGTTCACAAAATTTTGCTTCCGTTCGCGAACTCCGCATTGGGTGACGAACATGACCCACAGCCATTTTCCCTGCTGTGACACGTGGTCATGGCTTCCTCCCTCCAAACAATAACCGCCTCCCCACCCGCCTTCCTGTCCTCCACGCCAGAAGTCGCCTCAAGCAAGGTTAGTGTTCTCTCGCCTCAAGCAAGGTTAGTGTTCTCTCGCCTCAAGCAAGGTTAGTGTTCTCTCGCCTCAAGCAAGGTTAGTGTTCTCTCTCTTCATACTGTACTGTACTGTACTTTGTTTCATATTTTTGTGGTTTAAAAAAAAATACATATGGTTCAGAACGGATTAACCGTATTTACATTGAACCTTTACATTGATTCGGTTGGCGGCCAAAATCGGTTGGCGACCAAATTTGTAGGGGTCAGAACAGATTAACCGTATTTACATTGAACCTCATGGGAAAATGTGATTCAGTTCGCGACCAATTCGGTTCACGACCAGAGTCGCGGAACAAATTAAGTTCGTGAACCGAGGTACCACTGTACTTTCATGCATGCCTGGAAAGTAGATCTTGCTGCATTGCTGAGATGTCAATCTTTTTTTTTTTAAAGCCCGGGGTGTACCTGGAAGTGCTGTTCTTCGCTTTGACATAGAACTTTTACACATGGAAGTAGGTGTTCCAGAAGGGTATTTGTTCATCTGGCATGGTGAGCCACCAGAAAACCTGTTTGAAGCCATGGATCTGAATAAGAATGGTGAAGTCCCATCAGAAGAGGTGAGACTGGGTTCTGTTTTAGAAAGAAAGCAACCAGTAAAGGATTCAGAACTTGAAGGGTAATTGGATCAATTTTTATTGTTTAGTCCATTGAATGCACATGTTGGCAAAAAAGAAAGAAGTCTAAAGCAAGCCACAAGATTTTTACCTTTAGGATATGCATAGTTATTGCAGAAAACATCTCAGAAGAAGCATTCCCTGTTATGGGATGGAGCTCTTAAAATGGTAGTTTTTATAAATACCTGAATTGTTTTTAAACCTACATTGGGGGGAAAATCTATTAGGGCATTCAATAGTCAGTGTATACAGTAAAATCAATAACTGATTAAATGGATTATTCATTTTACGTGCATTTGTTGAAAATAACCCTTAATGAAAGCCTAAGAAATACAGCTTTTCTGAGACTATAAAACAACAAAACCATATAATATTTCCAAGTGCATCTGTTGCTTCCTCTAGCCATGGGTAGTAACTGTTAAATATTTTGATTATAAATTATCGGTACAATGTAATCTAGATCCATTCCAATTAATTGCTTTTATTAATGGCCAGAGAAAGAAAAAGACTCTGAAATCAGGGAAGCCAGAAATAATCACTTATTTTGAAATGCTACACGTTGGGGCCCATTTGTGGAAATAATGGAACTATTGTTCTCTTTTCTCTGTCTCCATTCTGCAGTTCTCCACATTCATTAAGTCCCAGATTGCAGAGGACAAAGGACATATGATTCCAGGCATTGAGCCGGAAAAAGTAATCACAGACATGTTTCAGAACCAAGACCGGAATAAGGATGGGAAGATCACAGCAGAGGAACTGAAGCTGAAGTCAGATGAGGATCAAGTTAAACATGAGGAACTTTAAAAAATGAAGAATCCTTTTTTAAAAGCACTCCAGTTTGGTGGCCCTTTCCCTATTTTGGGGAGCAAATTGGTCCCCAATCACTTCCAGTGTTAGACTGGATATAGGAAGCCGACAGGATTTGTTCCACATTTGGTGTTGCTTTGACTGCATATTATTGGGAACTAGTTAAATGAGATCATGATTGAACAAACCAAACCCACTGGACTAACAGAATGATGATAAATCTCCCAATTCACTGGTGGTGTGTTTTTCCCGAGACCAACTTCTCCCACCTTAACTGCATTCTGCTTATTTCCTCAAGATTGACTACAGCAGATTGTCTTGCCCAGAAATAATTAAATTAACCCAGATATTCTATTTGGAATCTGTGTATTCACCTGTCCAAATCAAGTAAGGTTGAATTTCCTATCAGGAAACCTGGACAGGGTCATTGGAGCCAAATAAGCAATAACAGGACTCTTTGCATTCAGAGACTATTTTCAGGCTTTCAAGGCAAAGAAAGCCTGAATTTATTTTTCTTTTTGGTCAAAGTTAGACTAAGCAGGAATTAAAACAAAAACACGCAACATACAGTAATAATTTTCCGGGCAATATTCCTGCACCATGTTGAAAGGATTTAATAGGTTCAGACTTTTATCATGACTTTGAATTTCTTTAACTGCTGTTAAAATGTACAGGGCTGTTTGATGAATATCTTGAAAATCTAGAGTGTCTTGATCAGAAGGGCATGAACATAACTTACTTTCCTTATATCAGCTCTGATTGCATTTTTCTCTCAGTTAATGGTGATTTGTGGTTAGCTGATAAAATTAAAATCCTTTAATCATTAAAATTCTTGAAAGCAGCATAAAATGTGCAGAACACTTATAGTTATACTGACTTATAAGATGTTTTTGAAGGGCAGTACACACAACTATTTGTAGTGTTTGCACACAATACACACACACACACTAGTGAAACCTTCCCCAAACTAGTATCTTACAGAAATATTTTGATTTCAATTCCCATGCCTTTTTGTTTGAGAAACTGATTTTCTCTCATGCATTTCAAGTTGTACATCAAGTCATCCAATAAAGATGATAGGAACATAGCAGCTACATCTTTTGAAGGCCACTTCATTCACCAGTGGAACAAATATTTATCATCATACATAGGCTACAAAATTAAATGTACTATCTCATGTTTCACCCACCTAAAGTCTAGGACCCATTCTTTTTTACGCAATTGCCAGAACATTCAGAAATTTACAGTATCCAGAATTCTTTAGGAGAACAGAAAAGGCATAACATTAAGGACTGAAATCAGTTAAATCACTACTAAAGACAAATATGTGCATTGGGACTTAACACAAATCTGAATAGGTTTTTTTTTTTAAATTACTATTGTCTTTAAAAAGGCTAGCATGGTGAGGTCTTCAGTGGTGCTATGGTAACTTTTAAAAAATTGGTTCAATTAAAGCAGATGGAACAAAATAAAATAGGCATACCAAAATGTTCAAAATAAGACATTTGTTTTATTATATTTACATGTCTTTTGAATAAAAAAATGTTGAAAACTTTGTGGAAAAGCTGGATCTGGGCCATTTGTGGTTCAAAAACATTTTGGAAAACATGTTTCACAAAACCAAAATACAGAGCATCAGAAATCCAATAGTTTGCATACAATTCAAGCAAAGACTCATGTTATACACACTTTTTAATTATCAGGGTTAAGCTTATTTGTTACACGTTAACTGTAATTGAAAAAAGCTCAAGAGCTACTGGGGCCAGTATGCATTCTTACTCTTAAAGGCAGTTTATATTACACCTGCTACTTAACTTCATCCACACAGCCAATTTAGAACATGCCCAAACGTATAGGATTCCAACAAAGCTATTCACCCGGGAAAGCCCTTCGACCCAACATTCCACAAGTCAGCTTCTTCTGCATAAAGCAGCATCACCAATAATACAAAATTGGTTTCCCACAGCAGGGTTATTTCAATAATTGTAATGTAGCTTAAAAGTAGGCTGCACCACATTATCCCCACTAGCTTATCTTTCTATTTTAAGAGAAGGGGAGTGACAATAGACAAGTCTAATCCATAATATCACCACCATATTGTTCTAATGTTTCAATAGTCAAACTAAGTCCTGATTCTGTTGCATTTTGGCCAAGAGAAAATTGACTACAAAATTAGTATATATCTTTGTACAATTATGATGGCTTTTTAATTAGGAATATAGTAGATATAAGAATAAGATTAATGCTAGCCGGGCCCTAATTAATTCTATGATTGTGGGAATGTCAAAAAACAATGAGGGAAATTTTCCAAAAGGCAACTAGTCATCAAGAGCTAGGGGAGTATGCATCTTGAGTTTGGGCCAGGATGAAGTGTAAAATACCATTTACTACATCCAATGTTTCATCTTTCTCCAGCACAATATCATAAGCCTCAATATATTTCTCCCGCTGTTCTTCCACCTGCATGAAAGAAAGTATAAATAGCAATTACAGAACTAATCTCATTAAACCTGTATTTTGTGGTTCCTATAAATACTAGTACTGTGGTGGAACACTGTCTGGAATGCCACAAGAAACCCAATACAGACAAACAAATTCAGGCTATAAATCCCACCTCAAGATCGAATTGGAAGAAATACCTCATGGCTGTAATATGTAGCCTATTTTTTTAACTACCTTGCTTCTTTCACATCCCCCCTTTCTTTGGTAACATCTTGCCTGATGAAGAGTTCTGGAGAACATAAAAGCTGGCTGACATTATCATTCCGGTAGTTCTAATATTCAAAATCCACAACTGGATAATAAACATATCTAGTTATTTCTCCTGCTAATTTCTACCGATCAAACTGCTGCTAACAAAATGAGTCAGGTCAGGTCTTACCATCAACCAATAGATAACATTAGAGCTTAGTGGCCTAGAGATGTGATGCTGTTCCTCTCTCACTTTATTTATCTGATTTTTATTGCCCTTTTGGCAAAACCTATCTATGTGGAAGGCTGGAAAGGACAACAAGAAGGCAGAAGCAACACTAAGAACACAAGGCAAGATACCATGGCTCTTATTTTCTAGGGACCACTGCAACTTGCTATGCCTCCCCCAAGCCAACCATCTTGGATGGCATCCAAACTCTGCTACCTGAAATAGCTGCCTTACTTTGCTTCCAGTTAGGGTCTCACCATCACTTTCAGCCATCTCGGTACTCTCAACTTACCCTGTCGTTCAGGAAGCCAATCCGGAGGATATTCTCCATGTCAGCAACGCCATCTGCCATAGTGAGGTCACCCATGGAATCTCCAAGCAGTAAGATGTTTGTTCTTGTGCAGAGTTGCTGGAAATACTCTGAGTTCTTCAGGACTGTGTTGTTCTTGTTATAGATGTGGATGAGGGGATCTTTAAAACCTTGCAAAACACCCTACAAAGGCAACGTAATGGGTTTATAGCACAGAAACAGCAAAATGCAGCTGAACATGTGTTGTGTGAACATACACACCTACAAGATAGGCCACTGTCATTTCGGTTTTATAAATGGACTTGAACCATGGTCCCCAATTTTTTAAGTTAATTTACAAATTAATACAAACTACAAATGCATTTCAGAAACTACATAAAATATTTCCTTCCATGTTATTAAGCAAGTTAAAACCGAATGGTATCAGTAGGTGTAAGCACATTTTAACTGTAGCTGACAGCTTAATATACTTCTTCAAATCAATAACTTTATTATAGCCATAAAGCCAGAAAACAATATAAAACCTGAAAAGTGAGTGAATATAAATATACATATATCAGTTGACAAGTATGTCTAGATATAAGATGTATTAAAATCAATAACTTTATTATAGCCATAAAGCCAGAAAACAATATAAAACCTGAAAAGTGAGTGAATATAAATATACATATATCAGTTGACAAGTATGTCTAGATATAAGATGTATTAACAAGAAATAAGAGTGAAATATAGAATATAAAAGTACATGGATAAAAGTGCAATAATAGAATAAAATAACCTAAAATACCAGTAAGTAGATAAGTCAGAACCTTCAACTATAAATAAAACGAACAGTACATATAGAGGCACAAAACTGGACAATCTGGGAAGATATACTTGGGTTCTTATCAGATAAGAGGAGTGACAAACAAAAGTTGTGCTCTTTGCCTGAAAATCCGTCTTCAGGATGGGATGGATGAGTCATCCTGGATTCCCCAAAAAGGGAACAACAAAGGAGCATATGGTTCAAAGACTCTACTGAGCCATCCCCACATGGGCACAGGCGCTGGTGCATTGGAGTATTCTTAGAGGACTGACAAGGGCAGTGCGCCTAGCCTGGCTAAGGTAAAAGCCCTATGAAATTTTGATATTATAACAGGTGATAAATAGGAGGCTGGTGCAAACCTTTTTGGAAGAATCTCTCAAATCACAGGACTAGACACTAGGCTTAGATTAGACTGAAGGTCCATGCCCAAGATCTAGTCCATGCTTGAGGGCACATCTGGCATTTTCAAAGCCTAAGGAGTAGAGGCTCTCCATTGAAAAGCCCAATAAATGGATTTTATCAGTAGAAGCCATGTTGATTTAAAGCAGGCCCTAAGGACCAAAGGGGCGAGACCTATAGGGAAGAGAATTAATTTTAACCAAAAGTTGAGTAAAAACCAAGCTCTAGCCTTCACAGAAATTAAACCAATCTCTAAATGTAAAATGGCATTCTTAATACATTTTGGGACTGCAGGAATGGCTCTACTAAACTTAGTCTGAACAACTTCAAGGATATTGTACTTGTTAAAGAGTGTAATGTACTTCTTGTAGATACATAAATGTTCTGCTTAGGATAACAAAGATTGAATATTTAAATATTTCCAAACTGTATACATTTCTATTTCTATGTCCTAGTTCTCCATGAAGAAATAAAATAAATAAACCCTGGTAAGGCCAAGATGCTTCAGACTGCAGGTGAGCAGTCATATGGGCAAATGCTATTTTATACACAAACTTCTCACACAGAAAAAAAATGTGGAAAGAAGGAATGCACCTAATCCTCTCCATATCATCTGCTTTTCTACACAGAATGGTTTTTAGGACAAGCGTTCAGTCATGGCCTCTACCACAAATCACAAACCATACAGCTCAGCCCAGCCCAGGTTTTTACCACTTCTAAGAAAACTAGTTCCAAGTCCCTAAGATATTCATTCTAACTGCAGTATCCAAAATTCTGTACATTGTGGCAAAGCCTGGAAGTTTATTTATTGCCGCCTTAACACCTTCCCTGATTCCAAAGAAAGCAGGAAATATTTTGAAGACGCTCTCATCAGGGCAGAATGGCAGAATCCTTGGCATGCTTCTGTGCCAGAGTTGATGAGGTGGGTAAAGAGAGATGATTCAACTCACACTGTCATCAAAGTCCATATAATTGGAGACCACATGGATGTTAGGGTGGAATACACCAGCCTGATGAATTATCTCCTCTAGCACATCACCCACACCTGCCGAAAAGATGAACAGGGGAACTTTGCTCTCATGCAGCTGGTCAAAGAAAACGTTGAAGCCATCTCTAAGTGCAAGAAGGAAGAAAAAGGTAACATGTGGCTAAAATTGTGAAATGTGGGCATTTATATTTAAAGGACAGCAGCAAAGTCCCAACATTTCCAATAGATGTATTAGCCCAAAAGGGCAACCATTTCTTGAAGCACACAAGACGTGACAGAAAAGATATCCTTTTTATCTTATCAATAGTAAACACTAAACATGCCCACTCGCTTATCAGTTTCTTGGAACAGATAAGGATACGCAGATCGGAAAAAGTAAAAGCTTTTGATTGCTAGCTAAAAATTAAACGAACTAAATAGTATGCAACATCCTAAAATACATAGAAGTACTTAATGGTAATCAATTCCAGTGATTGGTTAGTATGAAATGTCAAGTGGATAATTTTAATTAAATCCATTATTTAAAAATACATTTTTGGTGGATGATTTAAACAATGGTTTATAAGTTCTCTCAACTGAGAACACATGCACATAAGCATTAGATGGTAGCAAACCCTTTTCTTGACACATGAGTTTATGCTGATAGAAAACCTTACTATCATTCCCAGATCTTTGACAAAGGTACCTATTGGGACACGTTTGTTGTATTCAACCTTTATTTAAGTATGCATTTAACTATCTCTGCACCACCACCATACATCATATGAAAAGGCCATTAGAAGAGCCAATTTTTCCACAGTTCTTCAGTCTTTTATCTCAGGAAAATAAAGGTGGTCTTTATTACAGGTTCACTAATAGAATTATTGAAATAAATGTGAGATGTCCAAACACTTCAAACAACAAATACTATTATGACTGTGTTTCCTGATCTTCTGTTTCTGTAACTGAACATTCCAATCCCCATTTACTTCTCCCTTCTTTATGGTTTCTGGTGACCATAAAGCTGCTGACCCTAAACAAGTTGACACAATTGTGTACCAACAGATTTGCATTTGGTGAAAAAGAGCGTGCAGGCAATATGCATTACTAATTGTGCAGTAGTAAACCTTCAAACTTTGGGCCAGTTTTTATATTTAATTCCATGTGCAGAATTCCACCTTCCCATAACTTCGGAACATTTAATACAAAGAAGAAATAACTGAAATGGACATTTACCTCTTTCCTGAATTTGTACCTAACATGTGAATCCCATACCTGAGTTTAACATCTGAGTCTTTCACTATTTGGGCAATATCACTCTTCAGAATCTTTTCCTGGGACAGGAGGTTGTGAGCTTTAGTCCACCTGGAAAACATCATTGTCATGAGGTCTTGTTGGCTGAACTAATTACAGTAAATAAGACAAAGCTCACCCACCTTCTAAGCAACCAAAACATTGTGCCTCCAGCCTGCAACTGTTTTGGGACATCAAACAGAACAATCCTCTTTGGTATAATACTCACCATTCTATCATGAGAGGCAGTTTGTCCTCCACAGTCCGATAAGGGTCAATTTCAATAGGATAGTAATGATGGAGTAAATCTTTTAGCTGAAATATTGGACAGAATCAACACTTAAGTTCAAAGAAAAAACAGATTTTCAAAGCTGATAAGTAGCACTGAATTATAGGAAGTTTTAACATTAGAATACTCTGCTGTTATCTTGCTCAGTGTAATTACATGGAACATTGGATAACATCAATAAATTGGCCACTGCTGAAAAGACAGTCTCTGGCACTTTCTACTTTAATAAATTTTACTAACAGGCAAAAACAAGGCCTCCAAAGCTGATTTTAAATTACATGATGACTCACATAAATATCAGCAGTCCCCTTCACGTCACCTCGACCCAAACTCACTGAAGCTTTAAAAAATTGACTAGTACTTTCCAAACTTGATTTGGAAATGAAAAGAAAGCAAACAGCCCACAATATACTCTTTTAGTGGTTGACTTCTTAATAGTTGAAGTTTCCAAAGCCTCATACTTTACAACAGAAGGTATTTTCTCTTGCTTAAAAGGCCTAAAAGGTCACAACATTAATCCTAGGGATCCTGATAGCAGAAGGACATGAAATGTATCAGTTTGGATTTTAATTCAGATATTTGCTAAAGGAGTCCTAGAAGTTCATACCTTTTTTCTGCCTTCTTCGCTGATGACCCGGCAGTTATCTATGATATCTGAAGAGATACAAGCAGATTTCTAGCAACTCTATACACAGTAATGTCGAGTCTAAACTTACTTTGAACATGCTGTGTTTTGAAAGATTAATGCAAACAGTCAATGTGTAGGTGGCTGTGTGTATTTTGTTATTCTATTCTATTTGAAAACCACAATTTCAAATTGGGCACAAAATTGTGAGCCACCCAGAGTCACCCTCTGGGGAAGATCAGTGGCGTATAAATTTATTAAATAAATAAAAATAAAATTTAGTGATTTTAAAAAATATAACTGAATTTTTAAAAATACAGTAGAGTCTCGCTTATCTGACATAAACGGGCCGGCAGAACGTCGGATAAGTGAAAATGTCGGATAACGCACAGTAATGATTGAGTGCGGTAAAAAAAAAAAAAAAAAAAAAAAAAACTGATCCGCTGTGCCTGTTGCAATCAATTTTTGCATTGCAACGCCGCACCGTCAGGAGCAACAAGAAACAGTACACTCACGCTCGCAAACATGCGGCACACTTTTCTCATCGCCGATTTATGCGTGTTGTGTTTTTTTTAGGGGCGTCAGATAAGACGGAATGTTGGATAAGCGAAGGTCGGTTAAATGAGAC